AACTGAAGCAAACTACTCCCTACATGAAGCATACACTCTGGGAACTGTTAGGAAGGGGCTGTCTCCACCCTCTTTCTCTCACACAAGCTGTCTGAACTGAGTTGCCTCTTGCGCCTCTGGAAGGAACTCTTCCCTCCTGGTAATTCAGGCCAGTTACTGTCTGTGTGTCGAGCACTTCTGAAGACTACCTCAGTGACACGCAAGGAAGGCAACCAAGGAGCTTAAAATCATAAAGGTAAAATAGGTGAATAGCTGGTTTGGAAGCATCCCTGCTTCAGACAGGAAGGCGATGCAGAGAGTGGTGAGGACAGCAGAAAAGATCATTGACAGTTCCCTCCCTCCCATCCAGGACATAGCACAGAAGCGTAAGATCATCTGGGACACTACACATCCTCTTCACGACCTGTTTTCCTTGTTACCTTCTGGGAGGGGGGGGCTTCGTGGTATCCGCAGCAGAACATCCAGATTCAGCCAGAGTTTCATTCCATACAGCATTAACCTTGCGAACTCTCAAGCTTCCTCCTTCCGTTATATCAGTGGTTCTCAACCTGTGGGTCGGGACCCCATTTGGGGTCGATCGACCATTTCACGGGGGTCGCCAAGCAAGGCTGTCCGCCATTTTTTTTGTCCGCCATTTTTTTGTCCACCATTTTTCCCCCCTTTTCCGGCGGGTGCCTTACCTCCCTTGGGCTGGGCCAGCTGGTGGTCAGCCTGCTCCGTCTCTGCCGCTTGCCAGCTACACCTCGGCCGGCGCAGGGGGGCGGAACCACGCATGTGCGGCGCTCCCGGGCAGGGAAAGTCCTCGACTTATGACCGGTTGGGTAGTCCTCGACTTACGACCGGTTTAGTCCTTGACTTACGACCAGTTTAGTCCTCGACTTACAACCGGTTTAGTCCTCGACTTACGACCGGTTGGGGTTGCGGCATTAAAAAGGTTGAGAACCACTGCGTTATATAGTCAAGAGGGACAGTGATTAGTATTTATTTGTTATGTATATCTAGGGATGTGGGTTTATACATACGTTGTACATAGTATGTTTAGGTGTGTGTCATGTATATGTTTCACTTTGAGAGCGGGCAACTAAATTTCATTTTTAATGTGTGCCATTGTGCCCACAGTAAAAAAAATGAGAATAAAGGTTATCTTATCTTATCTAAAATAGGTGAATAGCTGGGAAAAGAGTTAAACAAAGAAGGGGAAATGTCAGGCTGGCTACAAATAAGAATCCACGTTAAAAGGTGAAATCAAAAAAGAAACAGAGCAGCTGAGCTTAAAAGGAGAATTTCAAAAAAAGGATGATGCCAAGTTATGTTTTGATTTAAGGAAAAACCCTACCTCTTCTTTAATCATGATATTCATTCAGAAGGACAGGAAGAATGACATTTGGAATTCGAATTCGAAACAATAAAGTTCTATCAACAATGAGAAAAAGCATCTTATCAATGTAAAAGAGCAAACAAATTATCAAATAATAAACAAAATTGCTCTATTTTAATACAGCATCTAGAGATACTTACAAAACATTTTGTAAAGAAACCAGAGAAACAAAGCTCCTAATTTACATAATTTGAGCATCATTATATTTACATATGACTCTGCATTTATATTATTATTCGCAAGTTCACGTGGCTTAATTTTATAATCTAATTTCAAGGGCTGTGCAAGTCTTCAAAAATCCATTTCTGACAAAGGGAAATAATAGCAAATGTGTTTTGATCACTGATGTGGTGATTTGTGTGGCCTGAAGGTGATTTGATTATGTGCAACCAAGTCGTTTTTTACTCCTAGCAACACATAAATAGATTTTCCCCAGGACAATCTTTCCCCAGCCTGGTCTTTCAAGTCTTCTCGTGGCCGGTTCATCACCATTATAACTAAGTCCATCCACCTGGCTGCTGGTTATCTTCTACTCTTTCCTTTCACTTTTCCTCATGGTTTTTTTTTTCTTCGTGCTTCCACTATGAAAGGATTTGCCAGTGATATCAATATTGCCCAGGGGACACCCAGCTGGGGCTTCTTTTGTGTCCCCGCAAAGCTGCCCACCAAAGTGGTACATCTTAATCTACCCACATTCAAACTGCTGGATTGGCAGGAGCTGGAGCATATGATGGGAGCTCACCCTACCCTATGGCAGCAAAGGGTCTCAAACGTGAGCCTGCCGATCATCAGCCCGACATTCTAACCTCGTAAGCCACCGCACTTGTACTATCTTTCTATGTGTTAGAGTTAGACCCTTCTCTAGAGAGCTGTGTTTTTGTATAACATAAAAGTAAAATAATTTGAACCTGGTCATTTGTGCCTCAAGTGAGAACTCTTAAGTTGATTTGCCTAATGCTTCACGTCTATGTTTTCTTTCATGGTGACTTCAGGAGTCTTCTCCAACACCAAAAAGGTCAATACTCTTTCTATTGTGCATCTTCAAGATCCAACTTTCTCTTCCATAGAGTGTCATAGGAAAAACCATCTGGCCCTTGTACATCTGAATATCTGCCAAGGCCTTCATGGCTGCTGGACCAAGTGCTAGTCTGCAGCATATTGCTTGATCTAACTGAAGCCAAATTTCTTTCCTTCCCTCCACTCTACCAATGTCTTGGGGTTTTTAAAGTGCTGGTAGTGAAAATGAGAATATTTCCCAATATATTGCTTGTCTTATTTGAGATAAATTGTTGACAAATCTAGGGTGCAAAGAAGCTTGGGGTCTATATTTAGGAAATATGTAGCTGATCATATCTGGCAGGGTCTGTGGCAGCATCGGGGAAGGGTTGGGTATCAATCAATCAGAATAGAGCTGGAAGGGGCCTTGGAGGTCTTCTAGTCCAATCCCTGCTCAAGCAGGAGACCCTATATCATTTCAGACAAGTGGCCGTCCAGTCTCTTCTTGAAAGCCTCCAGTGATGAAGCTTCTGAAGGCAACCTCTTCCACTGGTTAATTGTTCTCACTGTTAAGGAAGTTTCTCCTTAATTCCAGATATTGCTTCTCTCTTTGATCAGTTTCCAACCATTGTTTCTTGTCCTGCATTCAAGTGCTTTGGAAGACACCCCCTCTTCTCTGTGGCAGCTCCTCAAAGACTGGAATACTGCTATCATGTCATCCCCTAAATCCTTATTTTCTCTAGAGTAGATATATCCAGTTCCTGAAACCGTTCTTCATATGTTTTAGCCCCCAACCCCCTAATCGTCTTAGTTGCTCTTCTCTGCACTTTTTCCAAAGTCTCAACATCTTTTTGTAAACTGGATGCAGTATTCTAGATGTGGTCTTACTAAGGATTGATAAAGTGATGTGAACTCTGTTTAACAAGGCAAAGACTTCATGAGGCTTTGCCCAGTAAGCAAGGCTCCTCCTACACCAGCCAGTTGGCTTGATCTTTGAAGCTTGGTTTGGAGTAAGCTACATTCAGTCCAAGATTTACCGTAAGTGCTTTAGCTTGTTCAGTGATTAGCTAGAGATACCTCTGATGAAACTGTGTGAGAACAGGAGAGTTAAAATGCAACCTTAACCCTGTGGTTTGTATTGTTTCCAACACCTGAGATGACTAACAGGTGGAAATCAAAACATTTGCCCTCTGACTTGCTTTTTCTCTTTTGGAGGAAAATATTTGTTTGTTTGTTTGTTTGCTTATTTGTTTATCTGTCCCCCCGTCCATCATATTTTTAAACCGCCCATCTCCCTCAGATGTCTGGAATAAAGATGTCCCAGCAGAAGGAGCAAGTCTCCGTTCCCATGGTGTCGCTGGCTATTCCCCAGGAACCTTATGCTCCGGGATACTCTGCTTCATACACCCCGGAGGCCTACATATCACAGCCCTACAATCCAGAAGTGTATGCCCCCCAATCCTACGGCTCGGAATCACAAAGCTATAAACAATATGCATCAGATCCGTACGCACCTGACGCTTCGGAGACTTATCGCGTCTCAGGTATGTGCCAGGTGGATTTCTAAGGGTGAGGCTTGGATCAAAGGAGAAAGAGGGTTGGGTTTGGGGCTTGATCCAAACCCTCTGTAACGCTTCTCTTCCTACTCTCCTCTTGGTGCAGATGCTTGCTGCTATGAGATTCCAACCCCACCTCCGTACAGCTGTGAAGAAGTGCCTTGTGACGCATTAGGACCAGGTACAGACCAGAAACTTATAGGCTGAAGACTGATTCATACACAGGCAGTGTTTCTCAACCTTAGGAACTTTAAGATGCGTGGACTTCAACTCCCAGAATTCCCCAGCCAGCATAGCATTTTAAAGTTCCCAAGGTTGGGAAACACTGATATACAGTTAGTCCTGGACTTACAGCCATTCATTTAGTGACCATTCAAACTTACAATGGCACTGAAAAAAGTGGCATTTGACCACTCCTCATACTTACGACTGCTGCAGCATCCCCATGTTCACGTGATCTAAGTTTGGGCACTTAGCAACCAACATGTATTTAACAGAGGTTGCAGCATCCCAGGTCATGTGATCCCCTTTGCGACCTTCTCGGTAACTTCAACAAGCAAAGTCAATGGGGAGAGTCGGACTCACTTAGCAACCACATGATGCACTTAAGAACTGCAGTCATTTGTTTAACAAGCATGGCAAACTACGGTTGCAAAATCACATCTGACGAATTTAACAGTTTCCTTGCTTAGCAACGGAATTTCTGGTCAGTTGTAAGTTATAAATTGAGGACTACCTGCAATCTTGGGGAAGAATAAGATGCCTTAGATGTCCAAGTAGCATTCTTTGCTAGGTCTGTTCCCAAACACCAAGGGCGGAGGTCTCTGCTAGACTTTGCACAAGGTAGTCAACAGAATGATGAGTGACTTTGGGATAGATTAGATACAGGAGTAGACAGACAGACAGATGGACAGATAGAGATAGAGATGATAGATAGATAGATAGATAGATAGATAGATAGATAGATAGATAGATAGATAGATAGACAGACAGACAGAGACAGATAAGGAGAGATAGAGATAGATAGACAGATAGGCAAGCAGACAGAGACAGATAAGGAGAGATAGAGATAGATAGATAGATAGATAGATAGATAGATAGATAGATAGATAGATAGATAGATAGATAGATAGATAGATAGATAGATAGATAGATAGATAGATAGATAGATAGATAGATAGATAGATAGATAGATAGATAGATATGGAGAGTTAGATATGGAGACAGAAACAAATAGATAGAGGGATAGTCCAGAATGCTGGAAATACAAGATGTCTCATTTATGGCCATTTGCAGATAGACAAAGTGAATTGCCAGTATTCTCATTTATGTTTATGATGCAATCATGGCTTATTCTGGACACCTAAGATCTCACACTAGACTGATACCTGGGGAGAACAACATCCATGTTTCCCTGAATTTCCCACTTAAGGTTCTTAAGAAGGTTCTCCTTAAGTATCTAAAGCATTTGGGGAGGATTGGAATGCTGACTATGGACCAGGAAGAGTCTCAGCAAATGTTAGCAATTCGAGTGGGGCAAATGACAGGGCACCCATTTAATTAGAAAGACACATATGAGACTAAGTTGCTCCCTTGATTAGTGTTCCAAGGAACTCCTGGACTGAACTCCTTCAAGGTGTTTCTGTTTTGATAGTGCTGGTGGAGTCTCTGGGAGGCCCAGAAGCATTTGTGTAAATAGAAGGGGTGCATCACACTTGCTCTTTTTAATCAAAAGACTTTTAATGAAAGTATTTAAGGGCAGATACAGCAGAGTGTCTATGTGGAACCGCTTGAGGGGTAGACAGGTAGACCCAAGGCTATCCTAGTCAGGTCACAAGGACAGAGATGGTTTAAATTGCCCAGCTAAGATAAAAGATGGGGAAAGGGATGGAGAAAAAGCTTATTCCCAGGGGTCTTCTCACAAAGCCAACTCTCCTAGCAAAAAAAAAAAAAAGCTTTCAACCTCATTATCAGGAGAATCTGCAAATGGGTCTGCTAGCGCAGTGCAGGTTGCACATCCTGTTTGCACATGCACGTGGGTGCTAGCTGCAGAAAACTGCACTCCTAGCCCTGTGCAGGTGCGTGTGGCCTTGTTCGCTTGTGGCTCCATTTGTGCGCCTGTGCACACACAAATAAATTTCCCAGCCTTTCCCTGCAGGCTGCCAGCATGAAAAGGTTGTTTGACCTGTGTTCTAGTCCAACCCCCTGCTCAAGCAGGAGACCTTAACCAGGGGTCCTCAACCTTGGCAACTTTAAGACTTGTGGACTTCAACTCCCAGAATTCCTCAGCCAGCAAAGCTGGCTGAGGAATTCTGGGAGTTGAAGTCCACAAGTCTTAAAGTTGCCAAGGTTGAGGTCCCATTCCAGAGAAGTGGCTGTCCAGAAGAGATTCCTGCCTACTCTGAAAAGCTCTAGAATGTAAGAATGCACCTTGCTGTTTGTCCCCTCTCTGTCCCATAGTCTGCATGGACTCCTCCCCACCTGTTGTGGTGGCCGGCATCTTCTCCAGTAAACCTGCATCCACCATCTGCCCCTGTTGCCGACAGATCATCACCACTGAGGTGGTCTTCCGTGTGGGATGCCTAACCTATGCCCTCTCGGCCTGCCTGTGTCTGATAGGGTGAGTGTCCCAGCTCTGCCACTTTATCTTCCTCCAGGTTCACAGAGTTCATTAGGTCAGAGTAGCCAAAGTCAGGCCCAACATTCCCCCTCCCCCACTTTAGTTGGAGGGGAGGGGCTGGAGGCTCCAAAAACTTAGGGTTGCCAGGTGTCCACTATTTGAGTGGACAGTCCGCTTTTTTCACATTATGTTCACTATTTTTTTTCCCACAAAATAGTGGACATTTTTTTTATTCAAAAGCTTTAGGATGAAATGGTACGTAATCTAAAGCTGTACAGTCTACTTTTTTTACTACTTAACCCCCCCCCCCCACTTGTCCGCTATTTTTTGGAAGCAGACCTGGCAACCCTATCAAAAACTCAAGAGGACGTCCACCCCTTTGCACTCAGCCCCACTCTTTTTCACATCTCTCATGAGGGCTGCCCCCTTGATTTTCTTGTTTTAAATCCTCCTCCAGCCCTAAGAGTTTAAAGGGGTGAAACGGATGCCTCAGGGCAGAGATGGGGACATTTTGGTAGCTGAGTGTTACTCTGAAGTTCATTTGGGAGGAGCTTAGGGATATCACAGGTGGGGCACTGGTGCCATGGGGTAGACCTGAGGCTTTACTTTGGGCTTTGTCTGGGTTTGTGGGGCCTCATTGCAGGTAAGCCCAGAGGCTTTTCCAGGAAGCGCAAATCAAAGCCATGGTGCACCATTTTGATGCAAGCTCCACCCCTTTGGAACCTGCACAGTGACATTTGCATACAGGTACTTAAGGGGGCGGAGCTGCTTTGGCCCTGTTACAGAAACCACTGGATCCTGGAGATGCTTTTTGGCCCAGTGTTTCTCAGCCTCAGCCACTCAGTCCATAAGTCTTAAAGCTGGCTAGGGAATTCTGGGAGTGGGCTGAGGTGGAGCCTTATGAAGACGCCTGCTCTAAGAAGCTTGCCATCTATTAAGGTGACCACCTTTTTTACAATGAAAAGGAGGACACAAATAAATTGAAGAAAAAAAATATCGTAAATAAAAGAAACATTTTATTCATTGCAACAATAATACAGACAACTTGCATGTGCAAAGTTTGCCAGCCGGGTGTTTTGGCGCCCTCAGCAGCAATTCCTATTGGCTTTCGAAAGCCAATAGCGGGAGTAGCACAGCTCATGCAAAAGTTGAAAAAAAAAACCATCAAAAAAAGGTGCCGGAACGCCGTTCTGAGCGTTCTATGAGGGGAAAAAAAGCCCTGCAAATTTGATAGTCTTCAAATATCGAAAAGGAGGACATGAAGGAGGACACTTTTTGAGGGAGGACAGAACTTACAAAAGGAGGACTGTCCTCCCTAAAGGAGGACGGTTGGTCACCTTACATCTATAGCAGTGTTTCTCAAGCTTGGCAACATTAAGATAGGGGGTCGTCAACTGCCAGAATTCCCCAGCCAGCCACGGGGAGAAACACATCTATAGGATAAAGCTGATGAAGTGGGTGGGGTTCTTCAAGAAGGACATATTTACAATAAAACCTCAGCGTGCCTTCTCCAACCAGATCTGGGCCTGCAATCAAAGACTGGAAGCTTGGAATCTGAGGGACCACTGGAGGCCTGGAAAGCACCAGGTTGCAGTACACTGTCTAAGGTCTAGAATAGGGGCCTCCAAGCTTGGCAACTTTAAGACTTGAGGATTTCAACTCCCAGAATCCCACAGCCAGTATGGCTGGTTGAAAAATTCTGGGAGTTGACGTACACAAGTCTTAAACTTGCCAAGTTTGGAGACCCCTGGTCTAGAATTGCTGGGGTTGATTGACAGGCAATAATTCTGTATTTCTAATGTGACACCTTTGGGGACTGATCCATTCTCAGACTGCTGGGTCATTAGGAATTGCCTGAGCTAGAATGGATGATGGTTGGTATATGCAATTTTGAAATGGATTTCTTGGTGTAATTTCTTGGCATAAGAAAAAAACAGTTCAGTTGCCTTCTGAAAAAGCACCTTTGAGATTCTTGGCATAACAACAACAACAACAACAAGCCATAAGAAAACCCTTTTCAAGTCATGGTCTGTCTTTTTATTTTTCCTATGTGGCTCTCAGCTGCTGCCTGTGCTGCTGTCTCTTCCCCTTCCTGTCCAAATGCTGTAAGGACGTCGATCATTACTGCCCCTGTTGCCGATATCACATCTACCGGTACAAAAGGATCTAGAAGAACAAGAACAGCCCACCCATCCATCTCTGTGGAAATCAAGGTCTAACTTGGGTGGATTCACACGTTCCATCCTGGACTGTCCTTATGTCTGGAACTGGCACTGTGCAGAATGGGCTCCCTGGTCTGCGGTGAAACTGGCTGAGCTCCAGTCAACATTGGCCTTCAGTCTCCTAGGCAGGGAAGTGGCTTGCAGCTGGTCAAGGATCTGCTCTAGGATTTTCTGTTTTACTTTCCTGGTATTTACAGTTTGTGAATTAACTGTTTTGGTTTTTCTTTTGTGTGAATCCTTTGGTACGCTTCCTTCTCAAGGTTGCTTAAATCCATTTGTGTCACCATGTATCTCCTCTGAGGACCCTGTCAGCAATGCACCACTTATGTCCTACCAAACATCTCAGCCTCCGGCCCTACCACAACATTTAAGCGCTTGCGTCCCTTTCCTGGGCTGATGGTCTGTCAGAGGCCACTTTTACATCATGCTGGACTGGGAAATCCTTCATTTTTTTCCTGACCAACTTTCATTTGATTGGATAAAGGAAACTTGAGAGAAATCTCTCCATTTCTTGGCTGGCAGGGTCCCCCAAACAGTGGAGATGGAGTCCAAGGCCATGTCATCTGAGCCCCACCCATTTTAATATGCATTTAAAAAGGGGGCAGGGCTTTGATTACATGGTGGTGGCTGACCTCTTGACTTTTTGGACCCTCTCCATGTAGACTATCTTACTTGCCCCTATATTTGATACAGAATTTTGAAAAGCTGTTTGTTTCAGCTCTTGTTTTAGGGGATTAAATGTTAAGATTTTGATTCTTTATGTGGACAGGGTAATGACAAAGCTGTCTCATTAGATGGGAGAGCAGGAAACCTTCCTTGGATGATGTTCTGTTTTGTTGTACTGGTTAAAGAAATGGTTCCTGTGTTGTTTCCTAATGTTGTATTTTTTTGGGTAAGGAAGATGGAGGACACTGGCAGCTGAAGGTGGGAGGGAGAAAAAGAGCAAAGGAGGAAGGAGTATACCATCAGTAGCTGGTGGTCCTTGGTCCTTTGGGGCACTATTTCTCAACTTCAGCAGCTTAAGATGTGTGGACTTCAGAATTCCCCAGCCAAATACTAGCTGTAGAGTTCTGGGAGTCAAAATCCACATATCTTAAGGTTGGCTAGGGAATTCTGGGAGGTGAAGTCCATTAAATTGGCTGGGGAATTCTGGGAGCTGAAGTCCATAAAATTGGTTGGAGAATTTTGGGAGTCAAAGTTCACACATTCTAAAATTGGCTCTGGAAGTCAAAGTCTACACAACTCAAAGTTGGCTGGGGAATTCTGGAAGTCAAAGTCCATATATGTTAAAATTGGCTGGGGAATTCTGGGAGTTGAAATCCATTACATTGGCTAGGGAATTCTGGGAGGTGAAGCCCATATATCTTAAAATTGATTGGGGAATTCTGGGAGTCAAAGTCCACAATCTTAAAGTTGGCTAGGGAATTCTGGGAGGTGAAGCCCATATATCTTAAAATTGATTGGGGAATTCTGGGAGTCGAAGTCCACAATCTTAAAGTTGGCTGGGGAATTCTGGGAGGTGAAGTCCATTAAATTGATTGGGGAATTCTGGGAGTCAAAGTTCACACATTCTAAAATTGGGGAATTCTGAAAGTCAAAGTTCATACATCTTCAAATGGCCAAGACTGAGAAACTCCAGTGACAAAAAGAGAGAGAGAAATAGTCCTCTGAGCCAGATTTTTAAGAAGACACGACCATGCCAGACTTGTTTCTCAACCAGGTGAGATCTCATACGTATTTAAGGATCTCGGTCTTCAAATGCACCGTAGAATTTAAAATTCTTGCATGCAGAAGGATAGCAAGTCAAGAGTCTCTGCCGTCACTCTCGTGAATGCCCCCCCCATGCTATCAGGGCCTCCAAGAGAGTCCTGGCTGGACCTTTTCTCCACCTAAGTAAAATCAGGAGCTTAAATGTATCACCGCTTGAACTGGTACGTATATGTGGGGTAACCATCATTTGTTGTTTTGATTTCCCCAAAAATTGTTTTTAAATACTGCACAACGGATGTTTTTTTTAATGATTTCCATTTGGTTAATTTTGTTTAGTTGAGTTGAACCACAATTTACTGATTACATCTCAAATGGTTTTGCTAAGCAGGACACAGTGAGCTATCAGCCACTTATAAGCCAGTCCGGTTTGACGCATCTTTTTCAGAGCTAAACTTGAAAGGATGTGCAATCCCATTAATCAAAACAAGTGAGTCAAAGCCCAGAGTCCAGATTGAAAGAATGATTACAAATGTTATTGTATGGGGAAGGTTAGGCAAGAGAGATGGAAATGCTGAGTCAATGGCCGTGTAATTCAGAGTTTACATTTCAAAGTCCTCTGGCTGGTTTTAAAATTCGGAGTTTAGCAACTCACCAGTGAGCCTGAACTGAAGATAGACCAAATCTTGCTGTAAATTGATGTCTTAGTACATTAGCAAGGGGCATCTGCAAAAAAATGTTCAGAAAGATTTTTCTGCCTCTCCCAAATTCGACTGATTCAACCACCTGTACAGAGATGGGGGCCATATAAATTGAATAAATCATTTTAAAGGGTGTAAAATCCTATCTCACCTTATGGGTGGTCTGTGCCTTCTTCAATCTTGGGTTCTCTACCAGAAGCCTGGGGATTTGGGGGTTCTACACAGTACTTAACTGCTCCTAACACTGCACTCTTCTGGACAGAGAGCACTGATGTTGTTCCTGGGATGTTGGAGTCACTTTCCTAGCTTAGGAATCACAACTCTTGGGTGCTCCTACCATCCCTTTGGCTTTTACTTTCCACATCTTCTCTTGTTCCTCCTTCAGGCCCTGGTCCTTTCCCCACTTCTCTTTTTCCTTCTTCCTGGTGTTGCTGTCATTTGGCACTGCTACATCTTATTCATCACTGCTGTCTTCTGGCCCTAGTCTACCACCACAGTGTCTGGTTGATTGGCCAGTACCTGCCTAAACATCTGGATAGAAGGTCCACAAGATCTTCCGCCTATTATTTGTCATGAACTTCTGTGAAGTCTCCCATCTGATCCTGTGAGGGTCTATAGCCCATACACTGTGCAGATACGCCTGTACACCGTGGCAACTACTTCGTTGTACCACTCAGAGTATGCTGATTTTGCCTGCATCCTACACTCTGCCATTCTGTGTTGGACTCTCTCTACACCATCTGGCCCTCAAGTCCTGCTTAGTATGGTAGTCCTTTGTTTCTATGGATCTTAGTGCCTGTTTTTGGGCTGTTGGCTGAAAAATTCTGGAAGCTGAAGTTCATACATCTTAAAGTTGCCAAGATTGGGATGGTTTGGTGGGAACCTCACCCTCTCACGAGAACTAGTTGTGGTTCTCACTTGATCCCCGTGAGAGATTGAGAGGAGGCTGAGAAAGAAAGGGGAAGAACCCTGATGATCAGCTAAGGAATGTTTTTGGTAGCTTTTAAAATAAAAGGTAGATCAGCCGTGCCTCCAAAAGGTATGATGGAGGAACATATTCAGAAGGCTACTTAATAAAAGCGGAACATTCATATAGAACTTCCATAATTAATTGGGCTGCTTGGTGCAGTGGTTAAATTACTTGGAGCTCTGGTGGCAGAGCGGTTGAAGTGCATAATTGCAGGCAAACTCTGCCCACAGCCTGGAATTTGATCCTGATGGAGCTCAAGGTTGACTCAATCTTCCATCCTTCCGAGGTCGGTAAAATGAGGAGTCAGATTTTGGGGGACAATATGCAAACAATGCTTACATTTTAAACCAGAATTCCCCATTACAGGTATTGTGGATCAGCGGGGGGGGGGGAAAGGGGATGGTTCACGCAAGTGACCGGCAACAATGTGTTCGTGCATAGCTCCATTTGCGCTAGAGACATGCACATGCTTGCCTGCTGCTCATGTGAGGACCATGTGTGCAGGCGCATGCTTGCCAGCTGTTTCCATGACCCAGTTGCAAACCCCTCACAGACCACTAGTGGGCCATGGCCCACAGGTTGGGGACCCATGTTGTAAACTACCCAGAGAGTGCTGCAAAGTGCTACGGTGCAGTATAAAGCCTAACCGCTATTGCTATTGTGTCATGTGCAAATAACCAGAAGCATTCATTCAGTTCAAAGCACAGCAGAGTTTGTGATTGCTACCTATACCCAAGAATCTGGTCAACTAATGGTCAACGCTAAATGGCTCTAGATAAGGGTCAAGAGAATTTATGAGGGCAGGTCTCTTGTGGAAGTGCATAAAAATTCCAAACCAATGACATGTTTCACCCTACCCTTGGGCTAAGCCTGATCTTCTACAGTTAGGGGTTCAAAATATAATACAGGTAGTTCTCACTTAATGTCCATTCATTCAGTGGGCATTAAGTCATAATGGTGATGAATGAGGGGGAACTTATGATGGGTCCTGGTAGTTGCCACTACTGCAGCACCCCAGTCATGGGGTTGCAGTTTGGGTGCTTGCAATTACAATGCCACAGTGGCCTGCAATCATGACTGTGATTTGTGATGTTCTCTGCTGATTTCCTACAAGCAGTCAACAGGTGCCGGACTCCCCAGATAGACCAGACAGGAAACATGACTACATAAATTAGTTCTGGTTTACTGTAAGACTACATTAACAGAAACTTGCAAGTCTGAAAATAAAATTTTCCATCTCATTTATAGCCTGAGAAG